AACTTGAGCAGTGCTCTAGGATATTAGAAAAATCAACCAAAAAACCAAAAGAATCCCTTAAAATCAACCAAAAACCAAAAAAGTCCCTCGAAATCAACCAAAAAAACATAAAAAATCCATTGAAACAGTGTAATTCAGCTAAAAACACATCGAACGACTTTACAAGCCTTTCATATACTTTAAAGATGCACCCGTTCGATAAAGATCCCAAACCCACCATTGTTTATAACTTTTAGTAAAAAAACTTGCAAATTTTAACACATTTATCATATCTTAAATAGAGTCTTTTTCATTAAGGTATAATATAATTGATGAAAACTTGAATGTCACACTTGTTATGTCTCAAATCCCAAACATATGGAGACAACTCAAGACCCTCACAAAGCCATTGTCTCCTATTTGGCTTAATGGGAGGAGACCCTTTTTGGGGACTAATACTTGTGTCTTAATGGTTATGTGGGCACACTCTATTTGACCAACTTACCTACAATTAATGCCATTATTAATTAACCCTATCCACTCAACTTATGCCACACTACTTACATTTATTAATAATATAAATAAAAAATTAAATTATTATTTATTTTTAATAAGGGTTGTTAATCATTTGTCTAGATTCTCATAATTATATTATGGGGTTTATTTAAATATATAATACATTTAATTTGATATGATAATAATAGCCTTTTCTTTTACTGTTTTTATGGTATTTAACAAGAACTTAAAGGTGCATTTAGTACACTGGACATGGACATGGACAAGATAGAACAGGACAAGAATCTCTGTCTCATGTTTGACATAAATTTTATATGGAACATACATGAACATAATAGAACAGGCCTGTTCCACCCCTACCCCATGGAACAAGATGGAACAATGTAAAACAGACTTATATTTTACCAATATAATCTCAAAATAAAACTTAATTCTCTTCTAAGACATCAAATAGGTCTTTTTTTTATATTTTATTTATTCTTTAAATTTTATTTGTTGTATTTTATGTTTCTTAAATTTTTATTTTACTGTCTTCGAAATATTATTTTTATATGGTTTCTATATTTTTATTAATTTATGTAATTTATTATACATTAATAATAAAAAATAATGTAGAAAAAAAAATAGAAAACTACATAAACTTTTTATTTAGTGTCATTTTAATTGTTTTAACAAAAACTTCAAATGGTATATTTTGTTATAACAAATAGTTATTCTATTATAATTTAATAAATTACATWAATTAATTAAAATAAACAACTCACCAGAGGTAAATTGGTCATTTTTATTTGTTCTGTTCTGTCCAGTTCTATCTTACCAAAAATTGAACAGTTGTTCTATCTTGTCATGTCCAGTCCAGTCATGTCTTGTTCTGTCATGTCATGTCCTGACACCAAACACACCTAATAGAATTGAAGTTTGGTTTGTTTTGACGTATACTCGATATCAGTGGAGCTTAACAGGGTTTGATAAGGAAAGATATAGTGGCGGAGGAAGAAGTTCGTAGGAATACTTTGGAAACGAAAGTGAGGAGATAATGGATGATGGAACTAGGGATGATGGTGAACGATGAATATACTATGCTACTCTGCCTTTCTCATCGTCACTTATTCTGTCAACAATAATATTGCCAATGTGATAATCGTATTGTTGAAGATACTGAGTCAGTCGAGTTCGTTACTGTTGGGTAGCTGGCTAACAAGTGAAAGAAATAGCATGATGAGATTATAAACTACTTCACGTGAATAGGCGTTATCAGATTCTTTGCTTTCTTTGCTAGCTGATCCTCAAAGAATAATGAATCCAGCCCACTCAGTATATTTAACAAGGAAAAATTGCACCAAAATGGAACCAACTTTCACCTTATTCCTATTTTGGGGAACCAACTTTTAAAATCGTCATTTAGAGGTCTCTATCAAACTTTTTGTTTATTTAAGGGTCTCGTTGACCTATTAATGCTGATATCATCTAGATTTTTTGCCAACTAAGATATTTCACGTCATATTAATTTTTTATTTTAAAACTAATATTTCACGTCATATTTAAAATTGCAAAATAATTATAGAAAAATAACTAAAATTCAATTTTTCTCAAAAATTAATGCAATAAAATTTATTTTTCATTTCAAATCTCGTTTTTTTTTTAAATTCATATATCAAATTGAAGATTTTTTACAAAAAATAAAAATCCAAATTACCACAATAAAAATTGTTTTTTACTAATACAATACAAAAATCAATTTAATAGAAAAAACTTAATTGATGCAATAAAAAATAAATATTAAATATCACATTTAAGATTTTTATATCCAACCAATCCGTATCAATATTAAAGTTTAAATCAAATTTGACAAATCAAAACAAAAGTTTGATAGAGACCCTTAAATTACCTGTCACATGTTCAACAGATCAACCAGATCCTTAAATAAACAAAAAGTTTGATAGAGACCCCTAAATGACGATTTTGAAAGTTGGTTCCCCAAAATAGGAATCAGGTGAAAGTTGGTACCATTTTAGTGCAATTTTCCCAGAGTTGATGATAATGTAGAGTCACAAGTTTCGATAGTGGATGCAAGAGATACTTTTGACAGATGAAGATTAAAAAATTTAGTTCGATATAGACTCAATTTCGTACTCGACGTAGTTTTTATTCTCATCAAAATTTGTGATTCTCTATTCTGTACACAATGTCATGTTATACAGTTTGGTTGGAGGCAGAACACGATTTTTTGTGTTGTACGTTTCGATTGAAAATTGTCTAAACGACCCATTTGTTTCGTCGACTCTAAAACCATCCACAACAGTGGGGCAAAATGCATTAATTGAACTTAAACATTTTTCTCTTATCTTGTCAAAAACCCAACGTTCTTCTCATTTGCAAATCGTTCTCATGTTAAACTGTTGAAATCTGAATACCAAGAAGGCAAATTTCAGACAGTTTGATTTTCTTTCCCGAGATTAATTTGTTGGCATGGTTTGTCTTTACTTGTATTGTTTTGTGTCTGGTCGAAAAACCCTCTAAGCAGGTTCAAAGAAAAGTAGAGCGTGATAAGAGGTCAAAGCTACAATTTTCTTACCGAATAAGTCACTTTTTATATTATTAAGCCACTATCAAACAATTAAGTTGACGGGACATACCAAATAACAATGTATAGCTGACCAAATAAGCTGTTAGTCTCATTAAACTGCTAACAAACAAGTTCTAAGTTATTAATTTACATATTATGATTTCAAAAACAAAAACTCATAAAAAACCGCAAAAACATGTACAAAACTTCTTTTACCTAAAGACACGAAACACATCTAGGAATTATTAGTGTTATATTACTCGGGTAAGTGAATACCAAGTCATATTACCTTACCAGATTAATATTGTAAGGACCAAGAATTTTACCCGGTAAGAGCGAGACAATGATTAAGAGTCTTACCCGGTAAGTGAGGGCGACGACTCTTACCACGGTAAGCGTTTTACCGGATAAATTGTTGCATATGATAATGTTTTGGTGGATTAAAATCTAACTCGGTGAATAAATGGTAGGGTTAAATTTTACCAGTAAACGTTTACCAGATAAATTGGTAAACGGCCTCTTGATTTTTAAATTTTCAGTGTATGATTTAATTTGATTTTGATATAAATATGTGTACATATAGCAACACTACGCGAGTACAAGCCTATAAACGAGCATGGAGCTCGATAACTCAATATTCGAGCTCGAGCCTAGTATAATTTTCTTTGAGCCGAGCTCGAATAACCCACTACTCGACCCATTGGCTCCTTTACACCCCTAGCACTCAGAGGACGGTCGCAATTTTTTCTTCAAGCGGTGACACAATTTGACTGTAAGAAACAAATATACAAATATTTCACAAAATCATCATTAGTCAATTGGTTAGTTCATTGTTTTTCATATTGAGATCATGTGTTCAAGCCTTCTATTGCAATTTTTTTCAGAAACATAATAAATTTGAAATTAAATGCAAAAAACTAAAAAAATAACACTAACATGATTCAAACTCGGATCTTAGTCGAAAAAACTCCTTGCAAACCAATTATACTAAGAAAAACTTATATCCTCATTATCTATACTATATTATAAATCATTTGACAAAAAAAATTAAAAACCATTTTTTATGCATAAAGTACTGTTTATTCATGCATATTACTTAAAATTCAAGATAAAAAACAAATTGTGTGTAAGATAACTTATTAAAACGTCAATTTTGAATTTGTGTAACTAATTATAGATAAACATAATCAAATACGAGATATATATCTCATTTTAAATATAAAAAATCTAAAATATAATTAGGATAATCATGGTAACAAAATACTTAATGATTATCTTTATAAAAATTATATTATTAAACGGCAAATAAATTACTTCGTTATTAATTCTAAATTAAATATCAAATTAAGAAAATTACACAAAAAAATCAAAACTTTAAGTAGTAAATTCGATACTAATATCGATATACTTTTGTTCCAAATTTTTATGATATCTTTAAATTTATATTTTATCCAAAAAATAAAAACATTATCGTTTTCTCAAAACCACTAAAAACCGTATTATATCGATAAAGATAAATAATAAAACGAAACATTAAAATTGAGATATATCTCGCTATATTATGCGAACACTCTTCTAGTAGTTTCAAAATATATATGATGACACACAACAAATTAATACGATGACACTTTTCACGACTTTATAACTTTTTACACTACGACCAATGAACGAATTAAAAAGTAACACGTACCACCACATGAACCACCTGGGTCCGTCCCTGCTATCACTTACGCAACATGCATATGGGCCAAAAGTGGCTTTTTTTGGACAATTTACCTTTTACTAAATCCAACCTCATAGAGTACACAATAGCAATAGGCCCTAACCCATAAGCATATTACCACTAAATCTTTGCTCGTGGTTCACTGAAATTAAATGGCACCTAAATCCTTACACAAATATGACAGAAGAGAGCAAGCATAATGGTTCAATGAAGATCTCAACCAATCCGAAACCGTTCACCGCCGAGAGCCACCGGAGTCCGGCTTCTCCGATCACCGACCTGCCCTAGGCTCGAACCTTGGATGTCAACCGAAGTTGCTTCCGATGAAGACTTCCGGCGCCGTTCATTGTGCCCGGCTAATCGGCTCCGACAACTTCTTCTTGCGTCGTCAAACTCCGATACCTCATGAAATCTAAATGCAAAAACCCATGAAAAATCGAATACTTTTCATCAATATTCCGAAGTTTCTTGATTTTTTGATTAATTAATTCGATTTAAAGAAAAAAGGGGAATAATTGATTAATATCGATTTGCAACAGATTATGGGCTTGTTAATTAACGAGCATCAGCTTATTCGGTCAGCTATATACATGACTGTTTGATAGTGACTTAATGATACAGAAAATGACTTATTCAGTATGTTTTTAAGCTAGTTTTATGCATAAAGTCAAGTTTTTTTCCAATCCTCCCCTCCGGATTATAAAACATGGTCTTTCATCTATGAAAAAAATATTCCCAAACAAAAAGCTTTATAATTTATACTGACAGATTAATTCACACATACAATTTTATCCATTCGAAACTTAATGAACAACCAACCAAACAACCCCTGATTATAAGTTTAGGGTTTTGAATTTGAAGAAGACGAACCTGCTACATTGTTGACAGAACCTTTGAAGGATTCCGGCCACCACCACCACCGGCGCCTTGGAATGGACCTCACAAACCTTGTGCCGCCGGTGATACCGCTTCGCCACCGCAAGATCAGCTGCACAGCTATCTACTTGACAGCAAGATGGTGTCATTCTTCCTCCATTAATGGCAGCTGTTTCTCTCTTCCCAGACCCACCACCGCCGGCGCCGGAATCCACCATTTTCTTCTTCTTGATACCACCATTTGCTCCAAACTGAAGATACCCTTGTCCTGATTCTTCTGCATCGTCGTCTAAGTAATCGTCTTCAGCTAATTGTTCCATGGCCATAGATGGATTCTTGAACTTCAAAACTATTGTGGGGTTTCTTGGAGATCGATTTCGAGAATCCATTTGTTTTCTTTCTCGTGGGTATGATTCTTTTTCTTGTGGGTGTGTTTTTGTAATCTGGAAAATGATGAATTAAGGAATGAGAATGGGTGGGAAAACGAGTGAAAGAATAGAAGCCAAAAAGAGAAGTTCATATGAAATTTACACAAATAGTCCCTTTGATTACTTCTCATCCTGAATTTAGTCCCTCTCAATGCAAAAATCACATTTATGCATTTTTTTTTATTAACCTGGATATTCAACCCCGCTATGCAAGCCGACTAATCTCAGGCCGACCATCTGCTTTGCATATAGTCTGGAATCATCGCATTTAAACTTTCGTGGCTATAAGAGAATTTTTATTCTTTTTTGGATTTGAATCTGGGACTTTTTGGTACTTTTGATCTTTAAAGTCAAACTCAAACCAATCAGGCACCACCCTTGTGATTATTTATGCATCTTTTTACCCTTAGGTGTTCGAATATGCCACACATCTGTTCACACATTTGTGTGTACTAGTCAGGTGTCTTCATGGAAACAACGTCTTGATCCTAATGATTGAGGAAAACAAATATATCATGTTTGTTTAGTTTAATTTAGTTTTGTTATACCCCAAAATTAATTATATATTATTTGATACTAATTTGAAGATCAATATAACTCAACTTTAAAAAAAAAATGAGGTCTAGACACTCGCTTGATGACGAATGTTTCAACCACAAAGCTATGTTGTTGTTATAAACTGTTTTGTGATGATAAATGAACTTTTAGCAACGTCAAAACCCCTCTTGTGGTTTAAGAAAAAATGTATTAGAAAACTACTTCAATAAAACTAACTTTTATGGGTAAATAATTCCTTGTTTTTTTACGTAAAACATTTTATTGGATTATTTAAAAAATAAATACAATATTCTATATTAATTCTCTCATTTTATTTACAATGAATATTCTGTAATTCTTTTTGTTAATAATGGGTGTTCAGACCAGCTTACGCTCACCTTGACTAATCCCAGGGCCCTAGAGAACAGTCAAAAAATCCTCAATGACTTTGAGGAGCTGAGCAATGTTGTAATTTTATGGGATACCATTCGTGGCCTTGTAGAACTCGAATCGGTGACCTCTAAAGAGAATCCTCAAATGCTCAAACCTTATTGATAGATGATCTATGAGCAATGTTGTAATTTTATCGGATATCTATAGAGTTGAAGGATAGGGTAGATTGTGTACTTAAATCAAAAGTGAAAGGGGCAAAGTAGATATAAATAGTTGTGCAAGGACCATATGTTGTTTTGATTTGATTAGTTAGGGTTAGATTGCAACCCATGTGAAAGATGGAGGGGGTGTTTGTAGTTTAAGGAAAGAAAGGGGGTAAATAATGGAGAAATATAATTGTAGTCGAAGGAGACAAAGGTTTCGCTATCCGTGTGGCAGAGGATCACGGCAAGAGAGGCAGGGGCTGACACTTGTACAAGTGGGCCCACCTCTGTTTGGAATTTTTCAGAACTTAACTCCTGATGGTGATTTATGCCGCATAATTCACCTCCATTATATTTTTTATTTTGATTTTAAAATTTTAAAATATTAATAATTTGTATGTAATATTATGCTTATTATTTGTATATCAGAATCAGATTAAATCATACATTGAACATATAAAAAGTAAGTTTTGATGTTGATATACGTAAAAATAAAATTATTAGGTATGAATGCATTTAACAATATATATGGGTATATTTGGAACTTCTTCAACAGATTGTTCAAGATTAAAAAATTAAAATTTCAAAAATTTCAAAAAAAAAACTAGCTTCATCTCCAACAGATTCTCTATTTTGAAGACTAGAAGATACTCGCGCAATGCAGCGAGATATATCTTGATTTTAATGTTTCGTTTTATTCTGTCATCTGTCGATGTTATAATATGGTTTTATGTGGATTTGAGAAAAACGATAATGTTTTTATTTTTGAATAAGATATAAATTTGAAGGTATCTTAAATTTTTTTTAAAAAGTATATCGATATTAGTATCAAATTAACTATTTAAAATTTCTTGTTTTGTTTTGTAATTTCTTTAATTCAATTTTTTTACTGTAATTTAATTTAGGTTTAATAACGGAGTAATTTATTTTTGATTTACCAATATAATTTTTTATAAAAATAATAATCAAGTATTTTGTTATAACATTATATTTTAGATTTCTTATATTTAAAGTTAAATGTTTTTTCAATATTTTTTTATGTTTATCTGTAGTTAATTACACAAATTCAACAATGAAGTTTTAATAAATTGTACTTATGCATTATTTATTTGTAATATGCATCAATAAACAATACTTTATATATAAAAAATGGTATTTAAAAGTTTTTGTCAAATACTTTATAATATAATATACATTACGAAATTAGTTATATTATTAAATTTCCATTTTAGTATTTAAGATATAATATTTACATGTTGTTTTACATAATTATTTGTAAATGATGATTAACAAGTATTTAGACTATCTTCGACAGCTTTTCCAAAATTTCTCTAAAATGGAGAATTAAAATGCAAAAAATTAAATTAAAATTACATTTAATTTCATTAGATTCTTCATTTTAGAAATTACAGTATTCCTGCGTTATTTCAGTTTTTTATGAGTTGGAATATATAAAAAAATGATTCTTTCTATCATGTTGATCATTTTTTTATTTTAAAAAATCTGTTGGAGATGCTCTTATGAGTTATAGTGGACCTTATTTTAAGAACCCATAAAATTATGATAACTTTGAGAACTAGTGCATCATTACAATGTGTTTATTTCATATGTATTTGTTTTACAGATGAAACAAACAGATTGAGAAACAAATGTTTGTTAATGAATATATTAAATGCTAAACTTTATATATAAAAAATTATGTAAAATAATACCTTAATGAAACATATTTTTGAAAACTAATACACGATCAATATTGTTATTAATTAGAAAATAAAAAATTAAATTGAACAAAATAAAATTATACTTTTTTTTTATTTTAACCAATAAAGAAATATGCATAAAAAATAAACAATAAAAATAAAACGAATAAAATAAAATTACAATCTTTTTAATTTTAATCAGTAAAGAAGTATGCGATATAAACAATTGAATTGATAAAAACTTTTAGAAATCATTTTTATACATAAAGTATTGTTTATTGATGCATATTATCTAAACTTCAAAATTACAAGTAAATAATGTATAAATACAACTTATTAAAGTTTAATGTTTGAATTCGAGTAACTAACTGCAGATAAACATATACTTAATTATTATCTTTGTAAAAAGTTATATTATTATATAATAAAAATTTACTATGTTATTAAATCTAAATTAAATTATAATAGAAAAAATTGAATTAAAAAAATTACACAACAAAACAAGAATTTTTAAATAGTTAATTTAATACTAATATCAATATATATTTTTTAAAATTTTTAAGATATCTTCAAATTTATATTTTATTTAAAATAAAAACATTATCGTTTTCTTTCAAAACCACATAAAATAGTATCATAACATCAACAGGGGACAAAATAAAATGAAACATTAAAATCGAAATGTATCCCGCTGCATTGCGCGAGTACCATTCTAATATATATAGAGAAGACGTTTGAAATGCAACGCATCACATTTGTACAACCAATGCAACCCAATCAATTGAGATGTTTATGGAAATGATGATAGTTCATTTATTATGATTTGAATATTTATGGAAGATGACTATCTTAATTAATTATAATCAATACTTTATATTATGAAACAATAAAAACTTTTATGAAATCACATATTCATCAAATTAAATGGACGATTGAGATTGAGTTGTATTGGTTGTACAAATGTAAATGGTTGCATAATACCTCATTTCTCTCTCTATCTCTCTCTCTCTCTCTCTCTCTCTCTATATATATATATATATACACACACACACACACGAATAATTGTGTGGAAGTAAGAGTTAAGATAAAAAAATGTAATAAGAAATCTGGATTCTTGATCACTTTTAATTTCAAAACCATCTCTTCCTGATCACTTTTAATTGCCCTGCTGAACACAGGGTCATTCACGGACCTCTTAGATTTTTTTCAGAAAGAATCAAAAAGTTCTCGTTAAAGTCCCATAGATAGAACCTGATACGAAGCACTTTTTTCCTCTCTTCCATTGCTTCACTTCATGATATAAGAATCCCTTTGTGTTAAGTGCATAAAAAAGTTAAAACTCTAAGGGGGCGTTTGGTTCGTCGGAATCTGATGGAATTGGAATAGTCAATTCCGTTGACCAAATTCCATTCCAACGTTTGGTTACCTATGGAATAGAATTGAATTCCGAACATTCCCTCTTTTGAGGATTTCACCATTCCTTCATAAAAGTGATGGAATTGAAATCCATTCCCTCCAAAATTGTGTAAATTATAAAAACACCCTCTTCCAGCTTCATCATCTGCTTAACGTTTTATGCTTGCTTCCCGTTTCTTCTTATCAATTACTGTTGTTGCTTAACGATTTTTGCTTATCTGTTGCTTCCAGTTTCTGCTTAACGATTTCTGCTTGCTTCCCGTTTATGCTTATCGATTACTACTGCTGCTTCCAATTTATTCTTAACGATTTTTGCTTAACAATTTCTGCTTATTTGTTGCTTCCAGTTTCTGCTTAACAGTTAAAAAAAATATCAAAGAAAGGGTATTTTTGCCCTTTTTCACCATTCCATTCTAACTCTGTTGCAAACCAAACAGACAGATTCCAATTCATTAAACATATTACATTTTATTCCTGCCAACCAAACACTTGGTCAAACCAGATTCCAATTCCTTTCCTTCAGAAATCATTCTGTGAACCAAACGCCCCCTAACTATTGGCACAAAAAGCTTCTTGTTTAAGACAGATCGCTTCCTTCAGTTAGCGGGAGGCCTAGTTGATGTAGGCCCTCAAACCAAACAGCGGACAAACTAGTCGAAGTAGTTCACTTGCTTGTTTTGTGGCGTTTGATATTGGAATTGATCTGATGTAT